TTATGTCGGCTATATCACTGTCAAAAAGTGTTGGATGTCATACAAAAAGTCATAGCATAGTACGTCATGAAAAGACATTTTTAAATAGATTATTAAATCCTTTTTAGATTAGATGTTCCTAAAAAAAATGGCCAATGGTGGAAGAAATACTCAGACTTTTAATCTAGTGTAAACATAGTCATTATGCAGAGCGCCCCTTTTCTGAATAAATTATATTTTTTCATTTGATTACAGTTTCTGATGCATTAGAATATGCATCATTTTAACAATGCAGCTGGTAAAAGTGGAGATACTGCTGCTGGGTAGCTTAGTGATAATACGTCATAAAGCATTATCTGATCTATATTCTGTGTTAATAATCTGAGTTGACCAAAGTTACAGATTTAGATTAAATGTAGCAGGGTAAAAAGTATAGAAGTATAAAGTAGCATAAGACAGAAAAATAAAGTACAACCTGAAATTGTAATTAAATGCAGTACTTGAGTAAATATATTTGTTACGGGGACAGCTTCTTACCACAGGCCATAAGACTTTTGAATTCTTGAGCTCAGAGCTTATCACTCACTTATGAAACAGGAGGTTTGGAGGTTCTTTGCCAGAAAATTCTAGGTGTCAAACCAAATCAAATCATATCAGCACCAATATGTGCCTTTTCTGCATCAATTTAGGCAAGGCAAGGCACGGCAACTTTATTTGTATGGCACATTTCATAAGCCAGGGCAATAGAATATAAACCATAATAAAGGATACAGATTAAGAATAAAAGAATAAAGAGGGGAAAATGTAAAAGGGAAAATTAATTACTAAGTGATTTACAATTACAATTACAAAAAATCACCAATAGAAATAGCAAAAGTGCAGAGAAGAGGTGCAAAGATAAAGAGATTATTTAAATGGTTTAAAATGGAGTTTAATAAAGTTGCAGTGCAGTTAAAATCAATAAAATTATTTGAATAATAAAAATTATAGTGCGGTGTAGGAAATGATATTTGATTTAATAAAAGGCAGCAGCAGAAAAGACTTCAACTTGATTTGAAAGAAGTGAGAGATGGTGCAGACCTGCAGGTTTCTGGGAGTTTGTTCCAGATACAGTACAGGCCAAAAGTTTGGACACACCTTCTCATTCAATACGTTTTCTTTATTTTCATGACTATTTACATTGTAGATTCTCACTGAAGGCATCAAAACTATGAATGAACACATGTGGAGTTATGTACTTAACAAAAAAAGGTGAAATAACTGAAAACATGTTTTATATTCTAGTTTCTTCAAAATAGCCACCCTTTGCTCTTATTACTGCTTTGCACACTCTTGGCATTCTCTCCATGAGCTTCAAGAGGTAGTCACCTGAAATGGTTTTCCAACAGTCTTGAAGGAGTTCCCAGAGGTGTTTAGCACTTGTTGGCCCCTTTGCCTTCACTCTGCGGTCCAGCTCACCCCAAACCATCTCGATTGGGTTCAGGTCCGGCGACTGTGGAGGCCAGGTCATCTGCCGCAGCACTCCATCACTCTCCTTCTTGGTCAAATAGCCCTTACACAGCCTGGAGGTGTGTTTGGGGTCATTGTCCTGTTGAAAAATAAATGATCGTCCAACTAAACGCAAACCGGATGGGATGGCATGTCACTGCAGGATGCTGTGGTAGCCATGCTGGTTCAGTGTGCCTTCAATTTTGAATAAATCCCCAACAGTGTCACCAGCAAAACACCCCCACACCATCACACCTCCTCCTCCATGCTTCACAGTGGGAACCAGGCATGTGGAATCCATCCGTTCACCTTTTCTGCGTCTCACAAAGACACGGCGGTTGGAACCAAAGATCTCAAATTTGGACTCATCAGACCAAAGCACAGATTTCCACTGGTCTAATGTCCATTCCTTGTGTTTCTTGGCCCAAACAAATCTCTTCTGCTTGTTGCCTCTCCTTAGCAGTGGATTCATAGCAGCTATTTGACCATGAAGGCCTGATTCGCGCAGTCTCCTCTTAACAGTTGTTCTAGAGATGGGTCTGCTGCTAGAACTCTGTGTGGCATTCATCTGGTCTCTGATCTGAGCTGCTGTTAACTTGCCATTTCTGAGGCTGGTGACTCGGATGAACTTATCCTCAGAAGCAGAGGTGACTCTTGGTCTTCCTTTCCTGGGTCGGTCCTCATGTGTGCCAGTTTCGTTGTAGCGCTTGATGGTTTTTGCGACTCCACTTGGGGACGCATTTAAAGTTTTTGCAATTTTCTGGACTGACTGACCTTCATTTCTTAAAGTAATGATGGCCACTCGTTTTTCTTTAGTTAGCTGATTGGTTCTTGCCATAATATGAATTTTAACAGTTGTCCAATAGGGCTGTCGGCTGTGTATTAACCTGACTTCTGCACAACACAACTGATGGTCCCAACCCCATTGATAAAGCAAGAAATTCCACTAATTAACCCTGATAAGGCACACCTGTGAAGTGGAAACCATTTCAGGTGACTACCTCTTGAAGCTCATCAAGAGAATGCCAAGAGTGTGCAAAGCAGTAATCAGAGCAAAGGGTGGCTATTTTGAAGAAACTAGAATATAAAACATGTTTTCAGTTATTTCACCTTTTTTTGTTAAGTACATAACTCCACATGTGTTCATTCATAGTTTTGATGCCTTCAGTGAGAATCTACAATGTAAATAGTCATGAAAATAAAGAAAACGCATTGAATGAGAAGGTGTGTCCAAACTTTTGGCCTGTACTGTATATGGTGCATAAAAACTAAACGCTGCTTCTCCATGTTTAGTCTTGACTCCGGGAACACAAAGCAGACCTGTCTCACAAGACCTGAGAGGTCTGGGTGGTTCAATTTAGGGTGTAAACATTTTATTGTGTCAAAACTGCTTCCATGTTCTCATTTGTGAGGACAAATGCACATGTTCTGATATTTATTGTACTTAATATTATTTTGTACTTAATTATAATTTTATGATTTTAAATGCACTTAAGTATTGAAAGTAAAACCACAAGTAAATGCTGGTAATAAAAAAAACAGGTGCAGAACTGTGAGGATTATGGAGATTATTTCTTCTTAACATGTACACCACCTTAAAAATGGAGCCTACGTTTTTCCTTCTTCCCATTTGTCCATTGATCCCTTCCTTCCTTCCTTCACTCTAAAAAAATAATCCATTGATTCAACTTTTTTTTCCAAAAAAATAAGTTAACAATTTGTGTGCATTTTTTGAGTCTTTTATAGTCTGACAAACTCAGTTAGTTTAGTACAACCAACGTATTTGCTATTTATCTCAAAAAGCTTAATTAAGTTGCACCAACTTAATATTTATCCAAAGTCGGTGGCGATATTTAGTGTTGAAATTACTTAATTTAAGGTGTTCTAATTTATTATTTTAATTCCACAAAAATGTTAACGTCTTGAAAACAAGTTGTCAACTGACTAAAACACTTTACTATGACAAACGTCATTCTTTATGCTAAAAAACTCCTTTATTTTAAGGGGTTTTCCACTAACTCCATGAATCATTTTTTTAGAGTGTTTCCTTCCCTATTTTGCTCAAAGGAAATGTATCAAAGCAAAAGTATTTATTCTACATTTTATATAGGAAATGTAGTGTAGTAAACGTGAAAGTTGACAAAAAGATAAAAATACAAGTAAAGAATGGATACTCCCAAAAAATACTTAAGTACAGTAACAAAGCATTATTACTTGGTTACATTACATCACAGCATATTTAATTAACATTGCTTAAGGGAGTTTGAGGAGCCCGGTCTCACTCAGAAGTTGTCAAAATCCAGCGCTTGGGTAGTGACTTGGGACGTCAGAAACCAACAAATAAAGGCGTCCTTGATTTGCGGTGTTGTACTGACAAAGTGCATTTATTTTGAAAGAGACGGTATGAAAACGTTACATTTCCTATAAAATGGAAGTGTATCTTGAAAGAAGAGGACTTGACACAGCGTCCCAGAACATCAACAACCAACACACCCAGGGTACCTTCCATTTCATATGTGGATGTGGAAAGTCCATGACCAAACGTCAATATGTGACTGATGAATGTGTTGTCAGACACCAAAGAACAAAGGCGTCCTTTAATGTCAGCATGATATGCGACCAGTTGCTGTTATAATTTAATGGTGCGAAAATGTGGCGGGACAAGGACAAATTTAGGTGGCAAAAGTCCAAATGGGGCGAATGGAAGGGGTGGAGGATGGGTCCAATGAACACCAAAGTTCACCCAAGAGAGCAGTGTTTGCATCCTGTAAGATTCTAAAGCCAAACCCTGTTATTTTTTCCTAAACCTAACCACATGTGTTTGTTGTTGAAGTAAAAAAAAAAAAAAAAAAAATTTGCAGTGTTGTATCGACATAGTGCTTTTATTTTGAAAGAGACTGTATGTAAATGTTACATTTCCTGTGAAAACGGAAGTGTATTTTGAAAGAAGACAATGCATGTTAGAGGCAGAACTTGACGTTCATATCTGGATGTGGAAAGTCCATGACCAAACATAGATATGTGACGAGGTCGGAGTGAGAACCGGTTCCAAGATTTTCATCTCCAACAGCTGCTTCTGTAACTGTTGTTCACATGATAATAAAGGGCTTGAAACTACTTTCCATTACTGAAAAAGGCCAGGAAGTGTAAAGCTTAGACAGCAGTGACCATTGCAACAAATTACTACAGGCATTTTCTTTCTTAAATCTAGACAAAGTGTTCGTAAACACATTTTAAATACAATTTGTTTCTATTTCTATTTCACATCTCCATTATTTTTTATGAACGAATGAATTTTATTCTTTTATTTTTGTTTATCTGTTTTGTGAATAAAATTGTGAATTGAAATTAAATGAAAGGTAAGTTTGGTTGTTGGATGGTTCTGTTTAATATTTCTTCACATCAATGAAAAGAATGTCCCCTTCCTGAGCCTTTAATTTGAAAGGTCACGCCGGAAGCTCCGTGTTTCCGCTGTCTACCTTGACGCAGTGGCTTTAAATGGGAATACCCTCTGAGCTGCTGTGGGAGTCTCCTTTAAAAAATCTTGCCGCGTCACTGGGATGCGGTCTCCGGAGCCGGGCACCTAGCAGCCTACCATCCCCGCTCATATGCCCACCGCCGGTAGGCCTGAATTTCTATCTTATCTTGCACATATTATTATCCTGTCTTTATTCTGTGTGTGTGTGATTTTCCTGTGTGAATGCGCCTTCCAATCTTTGCCGCTCGGACACACACCCGGTCAGCCTAACGACTCCTGACAGAGCCGCACTAATGACTTTGAGTGGTAACCTCTCTCTCACACACAGGAATAGCCGCTGCGGGTTAAAATTAGAAAGCTCAGTGTGTAAATATGTCCTATAAATAATGTGAGGGACACCAAGCGTATATACGCTCACTCTGCACAATGCGTCGGTGCAGCCGAACTGCAGGTTGTAGGACGTTTTTCATTACTGAGCACCAGCTGGTGTGCTGTTATTTATATATTACACTGTCACTGAGCTGACATTGTCATAGCAAACGGTAGGAATGCATCTCATTAGGCCAAACATACCGGCAAAACACAGGAAAATTACATAAAATGCATTTAATTATATGATATTTCATAAATATAACATACGCTTTTTGTATAAAAATGGTTGTTTTGTGGCTTATTCTGTTAGATTAAATCGTTTGAGGCCAAGTGTCTTTGTTAGGTAGTTATCTATGTAGACAGTTTGCCTGTACAGGTAGGGTAAGATGCCTGTGAAACTGGGCACAGCCTGTTCTGGCATATGACCTTCTTAATGATAAGCTTCTCAGGACATGTAATGTAGTAGTACAGTGAAGTATGTTTCTTCTATTACTCTGAACATATGTGTAAATACATGTCATTTTGTAGCATATCTGAGGGGTTTGTCAGTTTCTAAAACTTGGTCGCAGTGATTCTTGACTTATCAAGATACACAGCATCAACAGCATAGTACTCATCATGCAGAATATCATTGTTTTAGTATTAATGATGCTGATTGCTGATGAGTTAATAGCGTTAAATGTAGCTGTTTTAGGTGGAGTTACATTTGAATTAGCCGGCTTTATACAGTTAGGTGATGTAATCTATAACAATTCATTTTATTTTACAAGGATGCATTTTCCATGTGAAATCTTAAACTACATATAACAAGTAACTGTATACTGTACAAACAAAGGCAGAGAGCAGAACAGTGTGTAACAGATAGGCCTACATAAGGTGTAAGACATAAACTTTATGTCTTAACAGTTGTTACAGACTTTACATAAAGCTTTCTTTTCCATTTGAAGTAATTAACCAGCTAATTAGTGATTCAGGTTTCGAAATTTGTGAATTCTGGATTCAGAGGGTGCAAAGATAAAAGTTAGCCCACTGCTACTCTGCTGAACTACTCTAGCTAATCTGCCATCTTATCTAGTGTGTTTTGTTTTTTTTACCCTCATGATGATCTTTATCAGCTTCTGCAGTGATACTCAACTTACAGCCTGCGGGCCAAATCTGGCCCTTGGCAGGGTGCCAGGTCGCCCTCACAATGAAAATGAACTCATTCACACTGGGATTTTTTTTTGTCAATAAGGTGCCAGAGTGCATAAAATCCATAAGAATAGAGCTTGTTTATCAAAAAAAGTGCTGAAAAAGATCCCCCAGACCGCAAGACAAAGGTTCATGCTCAGCCCTGAATGTCCTCAAATCCTAGAAACACCCTTGTGTACACCTGACCTGTGCAGGGCTGCTGCGACTAGATTTGCACCTTGGTAAAGATGATTGAGGACCGCAAAAGTCAAAAAGTTGAAAGCATGCAATTGATTTATTATATATACTAAAAATATTATTAATGCTTGTTTATTAAGTGGCCCCTGGCCTCCTGTCATTTTGCAAAGGTGGCCCCCGGGCAAAGCAAGTTGAGTATCCCTACTGCCTTGTCTTTTTGGTGTAACAAACTTAATGTTGGCTTCTCAAAGTCAATTATTCAGTTGGAGGAAAAGTTTAGTTTAAAACAAGGGTATATTAGCTTTAGCTAAAGCTATCTTACCAGCTAGCCTACTAGCCAGGCTGCAGTCACTACATTATGGTTTTTATCTCTGTGTTCTTGCACTTGCGAATTTGTTCACATCAAAATGAAAAACTTTTATGGCATCATAATTTTTAGATATTGAAACAGATGTCAAAGATTCTATTCCTCCTTTTCAAACAAAAATGAAGTTACTGAATTTTGGCCAGAGGTGTGGACTTGAGTCATTAGACTTTTTTGTCTAGACAAAATATAAAAGACTTAACACCAGTGACTTGTGACTTCACCAGAACTTGAGCCCTTTTACTTGAAAATACTTGACACTTTCCCCTGAGCCCAATGACGGAAGACTTTGTTATTTAAAAGTTGTTAAAAATGATACCAAGGTTAGTTTTGTGAACAGAAATGACTCAGTCGTCAACAAAAAAGTATGCACAACAAGCGGGGCGAATATTATAGACAGAGACGCAACAACTTCCAACTTTGTTCAACATTTGAAATTGCACAAAGAGTCGGAGAAGATGTTGAAGTTAACGTAGCTAGCGAGCTAATGTGGGTGCTGTAAGCTAATTGTGATTCTAGTTAATAGTGCTACACACTCCAAAAGTGCGATGTTAGCATGACTTTTTTTGTGATTAAGTTACGTCGCTCTTGTTTCAACTCATAACAATTTTAAAGTTTTGTAATTTGTTTGAAGAAAGGTATTCGCACATCCAACTGTCTCAGATGCAGGTGTGCAGAAAAATATCACTTGCAGCTTTCAGTCCTACTGGACCTTCATCATGAGTGTTCATCACCATTGTGTCCAACACTGAGCTTAAATAGAAACAGCCTGTGCACTGTATGTCACATATCCCACAAACGAAAGAACAAGGGCACAAGAAACTATAATGGATTTGGGGAATTTATGATACACAGCATGAGAGTATATAATGTTGAACATTTTGAATGATTAATGAAAGCTGCAAGGCCAATGTGTTCATTCATAAGGTCAACATTTTGGTAAATAATCTTGTTGATAGCCTTTGTTGTGTGGAGAGTTTTCTGGGTTTTTCCTGTGTGTTTCTTGTGTCCTTGTTCTTTCGTTTGGGAGTTCTGTGACATGGTGGACAGGCTGTTGTCAGTTATTGAGAAACGCACCTACAGCCTCATACGTGTACACACCTGTGAAACGGGTAGGGCAGTTTCTATTTAAGCTCAGTTGAAATAATGGTGTTGAACACTCTTGACGAAGGTCCAGGAGGGCGGAAACTTTAGTGTTACTAATAAATTGTGAAGCTGAGCAAGAGCAGTGTGCGGGATTTTCTGTTCAAAGACTCACATTTTTGTAATTTAAAAACAGAATTTTTTCAGGACTCCAAACATAAAGTTTAGGAGTTGGGACTTGACTTGGGACCTGATTGCATGGACTTACTTGTGCCATGCAAAACAATGACTTGGTCCCACCTCTGGCTTTGTCTTTGAAGGGCAGTACAGACCTGTAGGCCTAAACTGAGTGAAAAAAAAAGACCCATTCTGTATGTTCTCTGAAATGTGTAACACAAGTATAATATACAATCATATCTAAATCCATCACATGAAGCAGTTGTAATTAGATTAACTTCTTATGTCTCTTCCCTGCTGGCTGTCATTCCCACTCATATTTGTTCCATTTATGGTAAAGGTATGCTGTGACGTAACAGCTCCCTCTTCACTCAAGTTACCACATGCCTGCAACAGTGAAAGCCTTGTGCTGAGGATATAGCGGCTATATAAATATGGAATTGGCTCTGATCCGACGTCTGGCGTGTACGTATAAAAAAAAAAAAAGGTTTTTCCCCCTCAGTCCTGAAGGAATGCAGGAATGTCTGTGTGGAAGACTGTGTTGAGGAAAGGAAGTGAAGAACTATGTGCTGTATATATCTCCTGAAAATGGACGAAGTTGTTTTTTTTCGCAAAGTGTGATTAACATCCTGTTTACATGTTGTTTGATTTAAACTCTACTCCCTTCATTTCCTGCTGTAAACATTTGTTCCCCTACAGTATATGGCCTAATTAAGAGTATTATACGTTGGCTGGTTCGCTGCTGCAGTTTAACTGAGCCCTGGACACAGTGTGATGTCATACTGTAAATGGCAGCCTGCTATTAACATTTTATTTTTCAAGTAGGGTGTAATAAAACTGTACTGCTCAGTATCTTCTGTCCTTGACAAAGAAAAAAAGCATACTGATAATTTATCATCTTATTTTCCTAGAGACAGACCAGTCGTCATTTCCTCCACACACCAAAGATGACCACTCCATCAAACCTTACCCACGCAGCGCCACAGCAAGAGCGCTTCCTGGTATTGTTTGACTTTGACGAGACCATCATCGATGAGAGCAGTGACGATGCTGTGGTGCGTGCTCTGCCAGACCAACGGCTCCCTGACTGGCTGAGAAACAGCTACAGGGAGGGGCACTACAACGAGCACATGCAGAAGGTCTTGGTGTATATGGCAGAGCAGGGTGTGTCTAAGGACTCCATCCAGTCAGCAGTGGAGAATATCCCACCCACACCTGGCCTCCTTAGGCTCTTCCAGTATCTGCAGAGCCACCAGCAGGACTTTGAGCTGGTGGTGGTCTCGGACGCCAACATGTTCTTCATCGAGACGTGGCTGGAGCGTGCTGGGGTGCGCCAGCTTTTCTGGAAGATCTTCACAAACCCGGCCAGTTTTGATGCAACTGGTCGTCTCGAGCTGCTCCCTTTCCACTCCCACTCATGCTCCCGTTGTCCTGACAATATGTGCAAGCAGGTGATCCTTCGGGAGTATCTGGCGGGCAGAGAAAAGGAGCGTGGCGGTACTCCCTTCCAAAGGGTGTTCTATATCGGAGATGGGGCCAATGATATTTGTCCCTCTCTGGCTCTGGGGCCCCGGGACACAGCCTTCCCCAGGAGGGACTTCCCCATGCACAGACTGCTGCTGGAGATGCAGCAGTCCCAGGCAGCCAAGTTCAAGGCTAACATAATTCCTTGGGGCAGCGGCGAGGACATAGTGGACTGCCTGAAGAAAATAATGGAGGAGAGATGAGGTGTGTGCGTGTGCGTGTGTGTGTCTGTACTTGTACATGCTACAAAGTGAGGACCAAAAAAAATATTTTAGCAACAGAGTGAGGACATTGTTGCAAAGTGAGGACATTTTGGCCAGACTTGGTTTCAGGGTTCAGGTTAGACTTGGGTTTTGGTTAGGGTTCGGTTAGGTATTTAGCTGTGATGGTTAAGGTTAGGGTAAGGGCCTAGAGAATGCATTATGTCAGTGAGGGTCCTCACAACGATAGAAGTACAAGGTTTTATGTGTGTGTGTGTCTGTGTGTTAAAGAGTGAGTGATGAAGGGGGACAAATACTGCAAAGGTGCACCAGCTCTAGTCCCGGTGAGCAACAGGATATGTGTGATTTTATCCCAGCTACACCATTTGAATCACCCGTTTTTAAAGGAATAGTTCTTTTTTTTTGAAAATGCACTTAATTACTTTGTTATGGAGGGTTAGATTGATTTAAAAAAAAAAGGTCTGCACAGTAAATACATAGCTGGTGTCAGCAGCCAGTTAGCTTAGCTTAACATAAAGACCAAAAACTGGGGCAAACAGCTAACCTGACTCTGTCTAAATGCAACAGAATCTGCCTGCAAGCACTTTTAAAGCTGAATAATCAACATGTTATATCTTATTGTGTGAATCCATACAAAAACAAACAGAAGACAATTACCGTGTTATGTGGGGATTATTTCTTATTATTTCTTGGGTGGGAGCATTTGCAAGGTAACCACCTGAGACTCCAGGAGTCACTGCACCTGGCCGAGAAATAGTCCAGAACACATGGTGCATTCATGTGGTGTTGGAATAATCAGTAAAATGAGTTCCCAACAGGGAAAAGTCACTTGAACGTCCCCTCAAGTTGGAAAAACAACTCAGAAAGGCAGCAAAAATGTTGGTACACAACTTTGATGTTATCACATTTAATTAGTAATATGGTTACACTTGTAACCATTGCCCACAAAGAGTGCATCAGATTAGTTAGAAAGGTTATTTATTAGCATTAACCATGATAAAAGCAAAGCAATATTTAAGTGGTTTTAGGGAATGCATTGGTGCAGCAATAAGCTTCAAACTGTTTCAGCATACTTGGATTAAGTCCTCACTGGGACATGAAACACTCTGAGCAATAAATACAACACATCTTTGTAGCATTCATGTTGTTTTCACATAACGACTATCAAGCTCAAACAAACAGAAGTTGGAAAAACAACTTAACACATTTGGGAAATGGGACCATACAGAGAGCTTGTGAATGCAAGAATAACCCCACATAAAATGATTAATTGTCATTCTACCTCCCATGGCCTCTCACCAGTTGGATGTCCCTGGAAAACCTCTTATCGGAGGCACCCAGGAGGCATCCTGATCAGAGCACACCCGAAGTCTGTAGCCAAGCCATCCTACAGAGGAAACTCATTTGGCTGCTTGTATCCGGGATTTCGTTCTTTTGGTCACCACCCAAAGCTCAGGACCACAGTTGAGGGTTGTAATATAGATGCAGGGTCGGACTGGGAACAAAATTCGGCCCTGGCAAATTTCCTCTGGACCGGCCCCATTGCTACCTGCTCTCCTCTTCTTGCCCTTGGCCTGTAGTGTTACTCCGCTGATATCAGCCTGCTACTGCTCATCTGTCCACGTCACTCTTTCCTCCTCCTGCTCCTTATTTGGTGCTGCAGCAGACTGTTGTAATTGTCATCACTGCTGCTAACGTTAAATACACTTTGCAGCATCAGCCTCGAGTATGTCTTTCTTTTTGTCTCTGACTTTTTCTGCTTCACCTTTTTGTTTTTTTGTTCCTTTATCCATTTAGTTTGTATTTTCATTCTACTTACTCCACTCGTTCTGTCTTGATTTCATTCATTTCCCGTTTGACCTCTCCTGCTTCACCTGTGACATCACATGATGGACCGCTCCATTTGAAAGGGTGGGGGGAGGTGATGATGGCCATACCTGCCTTACAGTATAAATAGTCTACTGTCAGTTTTGGGACCGTGTAACCCCCAATCAGATGGGCCGTTCCAACATCAGGTGGGCTGCAATCGGCCAATCTCTCTTTCATTTTTTTCCCTACAATTTTTTCTCCAACATTGTTTGTGGTGGCCTTGCAACCCACAAGGTGGGCCTGATTGCCCATGGCCAGTCCAAGCCTGCATAGATGGACCAATACATTGGGAGCTTTGCCTTCCAGCTCAGCTCCCTTTTCACCATGACCATCTGACACAGTGCCTGCATCAGTGCTGGCGCTGCGCCAAACCGCCTGTCCATATCACACTCCATTTTGCCCTCACTTTTGAACAAAACCCTGAGATCCTTGAACTCATCCGTTCGGGGCAAGAACCCTCACCCAACCCAGAGAGAGTAATGCATTGATGCAAAGAACCATGGCCTCAGACTTGGAGGTACTGATTCTCCTCCCGACCACTTCACATTCGGCTGATGAAGTCAACAGAACCACATCATCTGCATAGAGTGGAGATGCAATTCTGAGGTCCCCAAACCTGTTTCAATTCAGATAACCAGTTGCATATTTATCGTACAGACGAGAGAGCTTTATTGGTCTTCTCGTCTAACTCTCAACAAGAAAGCAAATAAGTGCATTTCCCATAATGTCAAACTATTCCTTTAATGCAAGGCTGGTACTGGTAGACTGGTTTTAAGTGTGTATGCAGTGTTAGAACTTGACTCCCGATTGAAAGCAAATAAATGAGCTCACTTGTCAAGATTATCATGATCAATAATGGAGATAAACAGTACTGATGATGCTCTAAGGTCTAGTTTTGAGTTTGATCAAAATGCTAAGGATCTTATCCAAAGCTATGTCTCATGTGCTCTGGAGTGACCTGAATCCAATGCAGTCAGCTCATTTAAAACACTATCTCCTTCAATATGAATGTAATTTACTTTACATTTGACTATCTCACTGTATCTGATGTTTTTGAGCAATCCTAGCTGTGAAACTGTTTGTCACAGGTACTGTAACAGTGTATTTTAGCGACCAACAGCATCAGCTATTCCATTCTTGAGGGCCTTTTGTGTTGACAGGCTTATTTTTGAAAACCTCGGCGATGGATACATAAGTAGATCAGGTGTTGTAGCACTACCCGGGACAAAAGACCACACATGTCGTGTCAGGCAGGGACAAGGACGGCACAGAGCAGGGATAAGGTGACAGAGACTCATACACTGTAACTGTGCTCTCGCCACCACTCATTACTGATACCTAATCTAGGGCTTGATTATACAATGGTAATCTACACCAGCATGAGATCCAAAGGGAACGCCGTAGCCATACCCCTGCACTTTGGCTCAACATTATACCCTGTGACTCTGAAACAATGAAACAAAGTGTAATGCAAAGTACCAATTGAGGATTTTAAATTGTATTTGTGTAGTTATTAGGTAGCACTTAATGTACTCCCAGTGAATATAAGTATTATTAAAAGGCTATTTGTTTAGGTTGAAGAGGATTAATAGTCTCTGAAAAGCCTTCTTTGTGTTTGAATGTATTCCCCGTAAGCTACAGTGTTGTGATGATGAAAGTTTCAGCTTCTTCAGCATACTTTGCATACTTAACTCAACATGTAACCTCACTTTGCCTCTCTTAATCCATGACAGGGACTGGAATATATATTGAATTATATGGGTAAGGAGCACTTGTATTTGTTAAGGTGGTTTACAAGGACATTTTTATTCTGTTTGAATTCACGAAATTGTGAAATATCTTGTTTATTTTTCCATCCTGTTTACAAAAAGCTGTTTAAATTCAGATTCTAATGGGGCATGTATACTGTGCATTTGTTTATTTTTGGAGCCCGATTAAGGTTCCCATGTTAGTATACACACAAGTTAACAGTCACTGATATCAGTCCTGTGTAGTAACTTTAGGCCAGAGGTAGTATTGAATAATTAAGGGTCTGTTTGCATTCATTTTTTATTCAGATACTGAATATCTTTTCAAGCCATTGCAGTTAACAGTAAGAAAGTTTGGGTGCTGATGAAAAGCAGTAAATCAGATAAGTAATAAGCTTGTTAATTGTTGAAATTCTTCTAGCCTTAAAAAACAACATTATACTCTACAAGTGCTGGAAATTTCCTTTTCAGTGTTTTAGTTTCTCAGGGAGTAGAGAAGAAAGTGTTAATAAGCAAACATATTTATAAAAATCTGTTTATTTGTTGCTCTAAGAACAAAAGATTAATTTATGATTAAAAACGTATAGATGTTTTTGAGAGGTAATTAATGCATCTGGACTCCTGAAATTCTTTGAGATCAAATTCTAATCCGCTAATGCTTTGTGATTAGGAGTCTAAAGTTCTGTGAGCTTTACTCCTTCTGATGCTACACGTATTAGAAATGTAACAGAGGAGATTTTTAATTTACTTTAACTGTCTGTGTACCTGTAAAACTTCCATGGAGTTTTGTGCAATAATGAAATGTTGTATATTTGATATGATGTGAATGAGATTTAAGGTTAAACAGGAAGAAAAACTTGACATTTTACATTTTCAGGGATGTGAATTGACCCAGATCACCAAACTATAGAGTTTTTTAATGACATTTTAAAATGGTATTATGGCTTCTTAACCAAATAAAATGATGAGTTGTTGGGACTCTGACTGACGAATATGCTACTTTTTTTCCTTTTGTGGTTTGATGTATCTTGGGTGTGTGTGTGTTTTTGTGTGTTTTAATTAAAACTCTCATGTGTAATTCATCAGTGTAACAGGAATATAAAGCCATTATCTGATTAATCTGTTTCTGTTGTGTGTTTCACAGCTGCAACTCTAAATATATAGTATATATTACATATTTTCTTTTAAGGATCATGTAAACTCATCATAAAGAAAATTGAGACGAGTCTAAAAAAGATCTAACAAAATGAAATATAAATATTAAAAAAAAATATGGAGTGTTTAAGAATTGATGGAAAAATGGAAATTTTAAAATCTACATTTCCATGACAACTGCCCTTATTTATTTATTTATTTATTTATTTATTTATTTATATTTGGTAACACTTTATGGTAAGGGTACATGAATTATCTTAAATTCATGCAAGATTTGATGCAGGAAAAAGCATGAATGTACAAGAATTAGATAGATAGATAGATAGATAGATAGATAGATAGAAGGGTGGGTTGGGTAGGTAGGTAGGTCGATAGATAGATAGATAGATAGATAGATAGATAGATAGATAGATAGATAGGTAGTTCGGTCGGTTGTTTTGGTTGGTCAGTCAATCCATCAATTGAAAGATAGATAGCCTACATAGGTAGGTTGGTTGGTTGGTCGGTAGATAGATAGGTAGGTAGGTACGTACGTAGGTAGATAGGTCGGTCGGTCGGTCGGTCAGTCGGTAGATTGATAGCTAGGAAGGTATGTACGTAGGTAGGTCGGTTGTTCGTTTGGTAGGTGGGTAGGTAGGTAGGTCAATCGGTCGGTCGATAGATAGGTAGGTAGGTTCTTAAAAATATGAATCATTACATAAATATATGATTTAATTATAGGGATGAGCAAGTATACCATTATCTGTATCTGCATCTGTATCTGTACAACCAACTAAATTATCAGTACCTGTATCTGTACTCAGAATGGGTGGGATTTTAACCAGACATGGGTGTGGTTTAAACACGAGCTGGGTGGGACAGAACCAGAGGTGTTAATTTTAAACCTGAAACTGATCAGACGTTCCTATACATATTATTTATAGCAAAACTATTTACGTAACAATCTCAGGACTGAGCTTCCGATCAGTTTTGATCACAAGAGTAAGAGATTGAACACAGCTACCCAAATGAGGATTTTCCTTCATCACCAGTACAGATATTGGCACATTTTACTCAGTTGATACTTGCTCTCGTAAAAAATACATCATCTGTATTGAATACTCGTTTAATTTGAGCTCTCAGCTCAACCCTAGTAAATTGGTGAATTGACAGAAAAATCATCAGCAATTATTTTGATGAATAATTAATCATTAAATGTTTTTTAAGCAAATATACCCAAATGAGGAGCTCTGAAGCTCCTTCAAGGGAATGCAGGTGCATGAGATGGGATGGGTCGGTCAGTACAGAGGTAGCCTTCCTGACCATGGTGTCTGTTGTACAGAGTGGACAGACTGAGCTGTGACACCCTTGTAATCTTAGAGTAAGTGTTCATAACTCTCTGTAGCTTTGTCTTACTCCTTGCCTTAAAGGGGGACTACACCATTTTCAAGATTTGACATGTTATTCCACTGGTCTAAGACAGCCCAAAAATATTAGTTAACATGAACAACTCTCTTCCTGATCCAAAAACTAGAGTGCTAAAACTCACATTTGTGATGCCATCATGTACAAAGTCTGGAGCTGCTCCACAGATAATGAACTGGGAAAGATGTTCTAGATGACACTGAGAGCACCCAGGGGAATGTCCCGAGTATATAGGTACATTGTCTATTTCAAAACCAAGAACACTATAATTGACCCTTCGCAAAGTCTCGCCCCCGGACACAGACTTGCCAATCATAACATAGCATCGGGCCAGCTCAGACCAGGGTTCAACGACACAGCTGTGCTCCATTGACTCTAATGCAGTCATTTCAGATTTCCTTCATTTTCAGGCTGGTTTTATGGATTTGGAGCTAAATGTTGTGCCTGGGGCACGTCGTGTATTAATGATACTAGTTACGTGGAGAGGGTGGAAAATGATATATGTTTGTTCCCTGTTCCAAAACCAAAATCAAACTCTGAAAATGTTTAGCAAAAAGTCAATAGAATAAATCTCATTTGGGTATTAGAAAGAATACAGATATTCTTAATTTGGGTGGTCATCCCCTTTAAGATTCTCAAAGCAACAGCAGGACAAAATGTGACATCAATATCATCAAAAGATCCAACACAGTTTAACTTGAGGTTGTTTTGTTGGCTGCTGTTTCAAAGGTCAAAAATGAACTGTAAAACTATCAATAAAGTCTCAGTAGGGAGGAGAATTCCTAAGCCACTCTGGGCCAAGAATTTTCGCCAGTAACAAATGAAGTTAAACTAAGTATTTGTTAATGTTACTGGTGTTTAGTTTCTAAGAAGGACAAGGAGAAAATGTCTTGTGACACAATATGTCCTCTTAAAGTAGGAGACAAATTAATTTAGCAGCAGAGGCAGAAGCAGAGAAGAGAAGGACAGAAGAGACCCGGAGTGAGAGGAGTCATCCAAACCACTTTCTCAACTTGCAGGACTTCAGACAGCCAAAGGACAAAGTGAAGACAGAAGGGGAGGATTAGAAGAGAGTGGATGAGTGCAGACAGAGAAGTGAAGGTGACGGGGTCAGTGGAAAGAGAGTCAGCAGTGTGGAGGGGAGGAGAGGAAAGATGGACAGAGATACTGAGCTGTGATGATATGAGAAGACATTAGAGATGAGATGAATAAACATGTGCCACAAGTATGGCCAGGATAGTGACCTTCAGTGGACGAGGCACACGTTAAAGGGGAACTCGACAGATTTTAACATAAACTGTATAAAATAAGTAAACGTATAGCGTCCTCGTCTAAAAAGTAAAGCCAGAGCCAAAGTGCCTTATACCTGCATTCTTTGTAATGGCCAGCAGAGGGCGACTCTACAGCTATTGAAAAGAAGTCTGTATAAACCTCTGTGAGAAAATGACCCAACTTCTCACTTGATTTTTTTTACTTCAGAAAACATGTTTCTAATGTGTTTATGGTCTCAATTGCTAGTTTCACATCCTCCCCAATAGAGTATGAGGTTTCATTTGTAAATTATGAACCCATTTAGTGAAAAATAGACAATAAAGCAGGGGGCACGGCTACTGGTGTGGCCAATGTATAGTTGCCATGTCCATGTGTCGAGGAGGGTCTGGTTTGGTCTACCTGACATTAATGTCATCATCTGCCCATGTCGGTGAGGGTCAATCAGGATTAGTTTCTGATTTACTAAACAGCATTAAACTGCATCTTTTTGATAAGTTGCAATTTCAAGATGAGTTACCTCTGTGGGGTGGCTGGGCTCAGCCTTAGAGATAGGGTAAGGAGCTCAGACATCCGGGCGGAGCTCGGAGTAGAGCCGCTACTCCTTCGCATCAAAAGGGGTCAGTTGAGGTGGTTCAGGCATCTGATTGGGATGCCTCCTGGGCACCTCCTGTTAGAGGTGTTCTGGGCATGTCCCATTGGTGGGAGGCTCGGGAGCAGACTCAGAACAGACTGGAGGGATTACATATCTCATCTGGTGTGGGAACGCCTTGGGGTCCCCCAGGAGAAGCTGAAAAACGTTGCTGGAGAGGGATGTCCGGGGTGCTTTGCTTGGCCTGCTGCTCCCAACCTGGCCCCGGATAAGTGAATGAAAATGAATCATTGGATGGGTGATATTTTTTAAAATAACATTTAAAAACCCTCTCTGCACAACTCCAAAGTCCTTTGTGGGTATGCCTACCCCCATTTGAGAGTCACTGGTTCAAAATATGTGTGGAATGTATCCTCTGTTTACATCTCTTGACCAGAAGATGGCGCCAAGTCAACATACCTCTGTCAAAACTGCTTATGTCCTGTGTAGAACAGACTATTATCAGTTCTTAGCATACACAAAGCATTCAGGCAAACAGAGTTGTGTTGCACTGGATTAATGAGAAAACCATGTGACAACAACAGGCTTCCTTCGGCGTAAACAGTAGTGCTGATGTGAATTCAAGAAACAACTCTCAGAGACATGACAGCATAGGCTCAAGGCTGCGGTGACGAACATGACATGAAGTGTGTGTGTGCTCCATGTCATCATGTGAGTTGCTGCTGATGTCAGCCAAGTAATTTGTTTACTCAGCTTTTGTATAGAATCCAGTCTATTTTTTGTCCATTTCTCCTGCCATAACCTCGTCTCTGCATTTAACCCCTGTTTTATCTCCTCCGCCAAGTCCCCCATTCTTCCTTTCTAGTTTGACTTCTGTCAGATCAGATAAAGGCATTCCACGTGTCATCTTTGCGTCCAATCTCACATTGTTCTCTCTCCGCATCTGATTTCTTCTCTCTGATGTACTTTGTCACTCCGTCCCTCGGGTGATTCCATGTCATTGTTGTTGTCTGCCATCATGTTTTCTGTTGTCAGTCCAGGGCTCCTAATGATAACGTCACAAGCAAAAAGCTGACTGTACAAAACACTTGTAGCCAACACTTACTCTGCTTTTCATTCTTTTGTATTGCCCACCCTTTTCCAATATGAGTTAGCCGTCACTTTGGAATTTGCAAAACCTCTCTGTTGGCCCTGGACTTCTGCAGCTCTCAGCTGAATTGATCCTAACAGAATTGATCTTTCAGTTTAGGTCATATAGAGGCTGACATTGTCAGGGCAAAGAGTATATGCTGTGTCTATTATGATGAAATAGGCAAAAGATAACTTGCTGTCCAACCCAATTTCCAGTGACCTCTAGAGGTAAGTGAATGGATAGAAAACCCAATTAACATCAATTTGTGGAGAATGATGACAAATCGTATTTGAGGATCTTGAACTCGTCAGTGACAGTCTGTTGGACCATCCCGTCAATATTCACATACCAGCTGATACAGCCCTTCCTCCCACCAATAACAGAAAACACTCTGTTAAAATGCTTTCAATTGGCAGTGCTATCCGATGATTGCTTTTATTGATACACTCATTGATTTTCCTCCATTCAATTACTCCTTCCGAGGTGAAAGATAACTCCATTACAGGACTTGAGACTTGTAAGAGGTCGCTCTGAATTAGGATGTGGACTTCCCATGCCAAAATGCTA